ATAGCTGGCAACTAGAAAGGATGCTTACAAGGCAAAGGGGATTAATCAGGGAACAACAGCTCACAAGTTTCCTAGACCCTGATACTGTGCTTATGCTACATAAACTGGGTAGCTAGTCTGATTCCCTCAAAATTGAATTGTGGGATCTTGAAATAAGAAAATGTCTGCAGACTACAGAACATTTCAGGAGAGGAAGGGGTGCCTAGACTGGTCCTTGGTAAGTCAGAGCTTGAAGCATAAATAAGACATGGAGACACTGAAGAGCAAAGACCACACAAAAAGAAGATGGATTTGCCAGTGGCCTCCCTGCTCCCATTCCTGGGAAGTTGGCCTCCATCAAAGCTGTGCACTTCTGAGAGTAATCATTCCCTTGAACATCCACAGTATCAGTACACACACACACACACACACACACACACACACACACACACACACACACACACACACACAGAGCACAGTTAGGTGACATTAAGTACATCACACTGTTGTCCACCTCACATCACTATTCATCTCCAGGACTTAATCATTGCCAAATAAAACTCTGTACCCATTAAATAGCAACTCCCATCCGCAGCCTGAGAAACTGTCTATCCACATTTTCTCTATGAATTTGAGAATTCTAGGAAGCTCATGAAAATTACTTATGTAATATTTGTCTTTGGAAAATTGGTTTCTGTCACTTAGCATAATGTTCTCAAGCAAGTGGTGTCTATTCCTCATTTTTGCATCCCTACCAACAATGTACAAAGGTACATCTATACATGTTGTTATTGCTACTGACAATAGCAAGAACTTCATTCTCATTTAGCAATGAATAGTAAATATTCCCGTTTCCAGATAAAACAGTTTATCCCTTCACCTATGGAAGAACACCTTGACTACATTCAAGATAATTATCAATGAAGCTGCTAGAAACATTCAAACACTCTCATATGGTTTGTTTGTTTTTTGTTTTTGTTTTTGTTTTTTGTTTTGAGTGAATGGAAGTCTCATCTGGTTAAATGCCGAGGAGGGTGCTTGCCAGTCATATAATAAGAGTGCATTTAGTTTTGTAATAAGCCATCAAACTGTCTTCCTATGCAGACTTCCAGTTTTACATCAGCAATGAGTGGTGCCCTTGTGGCTCCACGTTCTCAGCAGTTATAGGTGTCAACATTTGAGATTTTAGAGCATTCCAATACATGAAAATAAGCATTTTCATTTGCTTATATGCTATTTCTATGTATTCTGTGGTTCAGATTTTTTTGATGGTTCTGTTTGTTTTGTTTCTGAGACAGGGTCTTATTGTGTAGCCCTGGCTGTTCTGGAGGTCTCTATATAGACCAGGCTGGCCTCAGATCCACAGATAGCCACCTGCATCTACTTCTTGAGGGCTTCAGGTAAAGTCATTAAAGGCATGTGCTGTCATACCTGACTTCTATCCGTGTCCTATCTTTCTTACTCTCTCTTCATTTTAAAAGAGGAATGAAGCAAACAGCAATCTCTCTACAACATGGGAAACCTTACTTCTCCAATGGTGTCCATCAAAATCACTTGACAGAGATTTGGAAACTTGCTTGTCTGTGTATTAATATTCAGGTAGGCAAGTACAGGTGCCTGAATACTAACACTGTGTCCCTACCTTTGTAGTTTGTTTGTTTGGCATGGGTTGATTCCCTTAGAGAGAATAGACATTTTGGAAGCAGCATTTGGAAGTGTAACTCTAAAGACAGACTTTAACATTCCCTAAGAACTAAAGGGATTATCCCTTTGACACACTCAATGATGAGCCATCGACCTGATCTTCCTATCTGTCCTGTATCATGACTCCATCAGAAGATCCAGAATAGCCAGGCCATAGCAACTCACTGCTACTTAGACTTCTCTACCTGCATCTCCAGCTTCTCCTCTGCCATGCTAAACCTGAAAAACCTCCATCTCATCACTGCAGGTCTTCCTGAATTTGAATGCCAGCCTGTCTTAGTTAGGATTTCTATTGCTGTGAAGAGACACCATGACCAAAAAAACATTTAATTGTGGTGGCTCACTTACAGTTCCAGAGGTTCAGCCATTATCATCATGGTGGGGGGCATGGCAGACATGGTGCTGGAGAGGTAGCTGAGAGTCCTACATCTTTCAGGCAACAGGAAGTCTAGTGACTCACTGGGCAGTATCCTGAGCATAGGAAACCTCAAAGCCAACTCCCACAGTGACACACTTCCTCTAACAAGGCCATACTCAGTCTAACAAAGCTATATACCTCCTGATATTGTCACTCCCTATGAGCTTATGGGAGCCAATTACATTCAAACTACCATATCCCACTCCCTGGCCTCTATAACCTTGTAACAGTATCATAATGAAAAATGAATTTATTCCAACTTCAAAAGTCCCCATAGTCTATCACAGTCTCAACAATGTTTAGTAATCCAAAGTCCAAAGTCTCTTCAGAGATTCATGCAATCTTTTAATTGTAATCCCGTATAAAATGAAAATTTAAAAGAATCACATATTTCCAACATATATATTACAGGATATATATTACCATCCCAAAACATAGGAAAAGGATCATAATGAGGAAATACTGAACCAAAGAAATACCAAATACCAAAACCCAGCTGGGCAAACTCCAAACTCAGCATCTCTGTTTCCGATGTCAAATTACTCTTCAGATTTACGAGTCTGTTCAGCTATGTGGACTGCAACACATTTCTCTCTCTTGGGATGACTCCACTCCTTGTTAGCAGCTCTCCTATGCAGGTATTCCACACCTCTGGCATCTCCATCATCTTGAGATCTCCAAGGCAATCCAGGCTTTAACTTCACAGCTTCACACAATGGCCTCTACTAGGCCCCCATTCAGGAATGCCCCTTGACACATGCCTGACCTCAGTGGTTTTCCTCAAATCTCAAGGACAAATCCCATAGCCCCTTTAATTCCAGAACCATGTGGACAAAACTGCCAAATTTTGTTGCTTACTGAGGCTGGAACATGGCCCCCTTGTTCAATTATATCTTCACCAGCTTTCTGTCCTTCATTGCCTAAGCTTGGCTGTCCTCAAACTTGCACTGTAGAACAGACTGGCTTCAAACTCAGAGGTCTGCCAGCCTCTGCCTTTCCAAGTGCTTAAAGGGATTAAAGGCATGTACCACCATACCCAGCTCTAAACCTTTCTTGAGTTCCTCTTCACAAGTTGGAAACTTAGCTGGGTGGGGTCTTGCCCTAAGGTCACCACTCCCTTTCTTCCATTTCTTAATCTGTTTATCTCCTTGAACAGAAGATTTAGTTCCACTCCACTTCCTCATGTCCCTTTTCTCAATCTGTACATTTTGTATTTTTATTTGCTCAGCTTGCTCATTTTCATTATACATCTTCATTAGAGTTAACATTAATAACCACAGGACAAAGTTTATACTAGGCTGTTTTGAGATGTCCTCTGTCAATGAAATTAATCCTAAAACTCTTCACTTTGGACTCAGGCAGACCCTTTCAAGAAGGGCAAAAGGCAGATACTTTCTTCACCAAAATATCACAAGAACCATCTCTAAGCAACATACTAAAATTCTTCTGAAACCTCTTGAGTGAGCCCCCCATAGTTCATCAAATCATACTCAGCACCACTGTCTTCCATGATCCTACTAGTATGGCCTATTAAGCAGTGCTTAAAGCATTCCATTGCTTTTCTAACCCAAAGTACTGAAGTGCAAATTAGTCCAAACAAAAACATGGTCCAGCCTATCACAATAATACCCCAATCCCTGGCACTAACTTCTGTCTTCGTTAGGGTTTTTGTTGCTGTGAAGAGACACTATGATCATGGCAACTCTTACAAGGAAAACACTTACAGTTCCAGAGGTTCAGCTCATTATCATCATGGCAGGGAGCGTGGCAGTGTAGAGGGAGACACAGTACTGGAGCGGTAACTAGAGTTCTACAACTTTCAGGCAACAGGAAGTCGACTGACTCACCAGTCAGTATCCTGAACATAGGAAATCTCAAAGCCCATCCCCACAGCTACACACTATCTCTAGTAAGACCATACCCAATTCAATAAAGAAACACATCTTAACAGTCCCACTCCCTATGAGCTTATGGGGGCCAAGGACATTTAAATGACCACACAGCCATTCTAAATACTCTCACAATCTATAGCATCTTTTCCACCTGTGCAGCCGTGTGGCTCATCCCGTATTCCTCACCAGGGTCTTTGCAGCTGCACAGCCCCCTTGCACTTCCTAGAACATGCCAGGCTCACTGTCTCCCCACCCCACCCAGTGCTTCTGACCTTGCTCTTCTCCACTGCACTCCACCCTTGCCCCAGTGTCACTTGCCAGGCCTCTCAGTGTCCTTTCACTATGCTAACTTTCACAGCTGCCCTGTATAGCATCTCTAACCTTCCAGCTACCTTTATGTTTCTCATAGAGATTCAGTGCTGGTCAACACTTGCTGTATGACAACCTGCTTATTTCTGCCAGCACCATGAAGTCAGCAATGGGAATTTTCTCTGTTCACAATCAAGTCTTGAAGCTGGATACACAGAAGTCCCTAACCTCATCAAATCCTCTGTCCCTCTCATCCCCCTCCAATTACATCCTGCCCTCCTGATGAATCTTCATCTCTACCCTCATGTCTGTCCCACCTACTTGCTGTTTACTGCCCTGCCCAGAACTGTTCTTGAAAGCTGAAAGTTTCCTCCCACTCAGCTGCCAAGAGTTTCTTTCTAAAAGTCAATTCTGCACCAAGACCCCAGGGCAGTTGAAGCTCTCTGGCTCCCAGCAAGTGTTCCCTGAAAATGGGGCCCCAGCATGCTCTGCAGCTCCATGTCTGGACCCAGCCCACCCTCTTGTGTTCTCAGTGGGGCTGTTATTTTTTTTCCTTGCCTTTGCATATACTGTTCCTTTTGCCTCACACACTAAGATGGGGTTCAGTCCATGAACCTGACCCCACCATGCTCTGGACTCGGCAAGTGTTTACTCTCTTAAAAAATTCTTGGGGAACTGTTCTACCGTTGAGTTAACCTCAAGCTTCTACTTGACCTTCAAATTCTGGTTAATGGTACCTCCTTCAAGATTCCTCCAAAACACCCCAGGTGTGTCCTTTCTCCTACCTGTTATATAGCAGCCCTAGTTCATAGGTCAGGCACTCACGTACTTACTTTTCTGACACCATCATTAGCACAAGTTTCCCCCATATCTCTGCCTAGCACTCAATCAGAAATTGTATCTAATGCCTCGATCTTAGGGTTTCTATTGCTAAGAAGAGACACCATGACCATAGCAACTCTTATAAAGGAAAACATTTAACTGGGCTGTTCAGTGATTTAGTTCATTATTTTTATAGCAGGAAGCAAGGCAGTAGGAGAGCAGATGCAGTGCTGGAGGAGCTTAAAATTAATACATCTTGATCCTCAGGCAACAGGAAGTGTTCTGAACTAGGTATAGCTTGAGCATAGTAGACCGCAAAGCCCACCCCACAGTGGCACACTTATTCCAACAAGGCTACACCTACCTCAACAAGGCCACTCCTGATGAACTATAGGGGCCAATTATAATTCAAACTATGACACCTAGGTATACAAAGCTCCAAAAATGTGAAGAAATGGCCCAACTCTGAAGCAGTGTCCTGAACATGCATGGCACTTTCATCAGGTACTGAGCTTATTAGTGACAATTCTGTCCCAGAAAGTGTCACTATAAATGTGCCCAAGAACTAAGAGAATAAGGTTGATCAAGCAGAGGTTTTTTGTAAAAGCTGGAATGGCTAAATGTCTTCCCCATATTTCTGCCATCCCCAAGTGTCTATGTTTAATTATTTGTATATAATGGTAAGCACCTAAATATATGTGCATATTCAGACATTTATTTAGCCACAGTTTTATTCTGTACATGTGTATTTCTACATCATTGGAGCTATTATTTAGGAGTTGTTATTTAGGGCATAGCTGCATGGATATTGTATTATGTAGAGTGAGTGAACATTCTGCTTTTGAGCAGGTAAGGGGATGTTTTAGTGACTTTCTTTGTTACTGCAGCAAAATACTTGACCAAAGAAACATAAGGCGGGAGGGGTTGGTGTTGGTCCATCAGGGAAGGCACGGCAGCAGGAGCATGGAGCTGCTGGCTAGCAATCAGAAAGTAGAGAGCAATGAACACTCGTGCTCAGACAGCTGTCACCTCTTATGGGGTCTGGGACCTCTGCCCACAGAATGGCATTGCCCATACCAGGGGTAAACTAAGTACTTACTTGTCTCCTTGGTGTTTAGAATTAAACTCAGGTTCATGTTTCTATTTTTAGGGCTTTACCACAAAATTTCTCAAGTTAATTTTAGTCCACTTTATGTGATACTCACAGATGACTCCTGATCTACAGTCTCACTAAAAATTATGATATGTTCAAGATAGTGATAACTATCATATTAGTCATTTTTGTCCTTTCCTTCCAAATCATTACAGACTGATGATTTTATTTAACAATATACACAGATTATGTAATTAACATATTCATGTGATGATTCCTCTTGTTGACTAGGAAACCTCACTATGTATCTGGAGGAGGGCGTGGCAGAATATAGATAGTATACAAGACAAATAAATGTTTGAGTGACAATAAACATTGTGGGGAGAAATCAAACATACCATGTAACATGACACTGAGACAAGGAGATCACTGTGTATTAAATGGACCTCTGACTAAATGTCTTGGTGACACTGAGTTGAAAACTTCCCATAAGAGGAGGCAACCTTAGATGTCCTTGCCAGGTGTGAACTCCCCTGCACTGTGGCCGTTTGTTTGTGTAGCTGTTTCCATATCATCGAGACTTACCTGCTGAGCCCAGCCCAGCCCAGCGTGGCCTACCTTTCCCCTTGTGTCCACTTGGCAATGTTTGCAAAAGAGGTGGAGTTCAGTACCTGTTTGTGGCATTATTCAATAACAGTGACTTGGCCAACAGAAAAGCAGATAGTGGCCACTCTATGGAGATTCTCCATATTTTGATGAACAAAAAAAAGATACTGGAGACAAGAGTAGTAGTATAGAGTATGTGCTTAGCATGTATGAGGCCCTGGGTTTGGTCTCTAACACACACACACACACACACA